TTTGTTAAAATCTAAAATTAGAGATTTAGAATCCTGCGCTACTGGTCTTAAGACTGGGAGTCTACATGACCCCAGGCTTCTGAACTAAAATTGTTTATATTTAGCAGGTGATGCTTCACATCATCCTCGGTTACAGATGGTAAATTATTTCATCTGGTGTAGATGGATCTTACTACTTTGCTCTGATACAGTAAAGCAGGAATTATGAATAATTGTTGTGGGGTTTTCCGTCTGACAGATACAAATGGTAACACTGTAAATAACAGACAAGCTATTCCTAAACTAATATCCCCAGTGACATTTTAATGTCTTCTTCCTGTCTGTAGCATACTTAAACTTTGATATTTCTGCTGGGGTTTTTTGCCTTGCATGCTCAATAATCTGCTTGCAGTATACATACTACCAATGAATATCCCTTCTAAACACCTCTGCTGAACTCATCCTTCAGATATATAAATCTTTCTTCTCTGTTGAAATATTGCTCTGGTCTGACAAAATATTAATCCAATGACTTTTTAAATAAATGTCCATCTCTGTAGTTGCAAGTGTAGTGATCATTCTCACTTGTTGAGACCAAAGTTGTGATAGGCTATCAAAGAGACAATTTGTGTTTTTAATGAGCATCTCCTCAAAACAGTGATCCCTTGGGACACAGACCTCCTTTTTGAAGAGGCAGTGGACAACAGCAGGGTCCCTCTGGGCTGCGACTCAAGTTTCTTCGGAACAAGAGGAGGATGGATCCGTCAGGGAGGTTAGGGTAGGAGTTGGCAGGCTCTACCCACCGCAGCTGCAGTACAGGGCTACAGAGCAAGCTGCTGTCTAGCTCCAGCAGCCCACAGCCATGGGAAGAGGCGGATCCGCAGGGCCACCACGCTTTTTCCTCTGGGAGAAACACTATCCAAAGTGTCCCTGTACTGAGTGTGCCTGGCTCCAGCCCATCTCTCCATGCACAGCATCCTAGCAGCTATCTCCTAGCACTCACAGCCCACCTGTTGGCTCTTCCCCACTCACGTCCCAGCGTTTGCTGTTTCTCAAAAACATCATGTATTTGGCACAAGCATGTCCCCCAGGGCAGCACAGCACAGCTGGCAGCCTCTAGACACCCCGTGCAAAACTGAAGAGCCTGCCACACATCCAGTCCACCTGCTTTTTGCTCCATCACCCGTGCAAAACCAAGCAGCTGCTAGCAGCTTATCCACCCAAGCAGGACACCTTCCCCTTGGCTGAGGCATCCGGGTGCTTCTGCCAAGGCAGGACGAACATCTGCAGCGAGGAGCTGGGACCGCGTCCTCCTTCCCCAGCCAGCAAGAGCTGAGCTACTGCCAGCAAGGGAGGAGGTTTCTGTGGGTACAAGATCACTGGCAAAATGCTGATGCATCCTTACACACACTCATCCTTCCCTGAACTTGTGCTCTTTTTCCCTCCCACCCCCATACTCCTCCTCCTCCTATTTTTAGACATTCCCTTCCCTTTGTCCCCATGTCCTTAGAGCTGCCACCTGCCTGGGCGTGTGCAGCAGTAGCACCACAGAGGTCCTGCTGGGTAGGTGCCTCTACACAGCATCATTCTTCACACTGCAGCCAAACCACCTGCCTTGGGGAGGTTGGCATAAAGACATGTGAAATATGAGAGCATCTGGTTCAGTAACTTATTTGGTTAAGGACTATTCCATATCATAGAAATAACAAATAACAAGGAAAATGCTGAATTAAACACACAGACACACAAACATTAATGAGCAGGTGATGAGAGAGATAATAATGGAGGCCAGAGCTTGTCAGGCACTGACTGGGGGGCTATTAAAAGAACTACTCCACCCTTGAAGAGGGTCAGCCTCGATTTTGTACCTGATAAGAAGGAGGAAACATAATGTGAATATTAAGGGTTATTTGAGGGAGCTTGGAGGACTGCATGAAACTTACTATGGGATGTTTAGGGGAAGGACTAAAGACATGGGAAGGATCAGGGTGGAACAAGTATGGAAAGATGGCAAGGAGGGAGGTTGGAGGGGTCAGACACATGTGAGCAGGCTGTCAGGCAGGATAGACTGGGCCCTGCCCCTGATTCCTGCAGTCTGGCCTGTCTTGTTAAATCCCATTCTTAATTACCTCTTCTGTGTCATCTCACTGTTTATCCTATGTGCCAGCCCCTGGAAAAGGGGCTATGGTGACAGGGACCACAGGTCTGATGTCAACACCAGAGGGTCAGGGATGTGCGTGCTTATCTGAGGGGTGTAAGTGCGTGCCAGCACCCACTGCAACCTGGCTGTGTTTATATTTCCTTAGTGGATTTAGTCCCACGTGCATGTAATTTGCTAGGTAATGTCAAGCTGCACTAGCTGGTGAGTAGAAGAAAAGACTCCAGGTCTGAGCCAGGGCTGGGTAAGGGAGCTGGGGTACAGGCATGGACATTGACAGGATTTTCAAGGGATCCATGAGTGCCAGGTACCTGTGAAGGCAAACAATATGGAAGAGTAATGGGGGGAAAAAAAGAGCCACAAAAGCACCAACCAACAAAGATACTTTATCCCAGCACTAAGACCTGTAAATACACTGGCTGAACAGAGTATCCATAGAAATGGTGATGTTTGTTCAAAGTTATATTGTAGGGTTTTTTCGGTGCCTACCTAAAACTCTCCTGACAGTAGGCATTCACCAATGACCAGTCACCTTCCCAAATGCTTCAGACTTGAAGTAAATGCAAAGTCTCAACCGCAACAAGAAAGAAAATTTGCCAAGAGGTGCTCAGCACAGGCAGGCTACTAATAAAGCAACACCAACAAATAAATACAAATCCAGTGGAACTGGGGCAACAGGAGAGAGCCTGCAAAGATGGTAAAGCAACTCCAGTCAAGCTTCTTTCAGACAGACTTTACTTATATCAGACAATGTGGGGAACAGCAGAATCAACAGCTGTTGAGTTAGAAAGTTGTCTTTAATGAGTCTGAAGACAGTCCATCATTTTCAACACCTTGAAACAAGGGGCCACATTTGAAAAACAAATGGTTGAAGTTTAACTGTCTTCAGAACTGGAAAGACAACAGTCCACTTGGGTACCAAAGTGAAAACTAAAATACTTATACCATCTTCCTTTGAGCTGCTGTGACTGCAAAGTAATTAAATAAACATAGTATCACTTTCAGACAATACTGTTCCATAATGAACTCAAGTAAAGGCTGAAAACATAGAAAACCATCCTAGAACACACAAATGCAGCCTTTATTTCCCCAGTGTAACTTGCCATTTCACTTGTAGCTGTCAAAAACAGAGCCTGAAAAGTTTGGTTTACCTCTTTTATGAGCTTCAACAGACACAGAAAGCACATATTCTTGCCTTGTACAAAGCCATGAAGTGAATTAGTATATCAGACTTGGGCAGCTGGTAAACACTTGCTAACAGGGAGCCTTGGCATCTCCACTTGCTGAGCAAATTGTCACTGAAAGTATTACAGTATTCCCTGATAAGAGGAATACCAACAGATAAGAAAAGTACCTTGGAAAGTATTTTCACAAATTACTTTTTATTGAGACTCAAATCAGCAATACAGCATGTATTTTCATCTCTAGGCAATAAAATGGAGAGATGTGATTTTATCTCTATGTCTTTAAAGTTAGAAAGTTCAGTAAAAAAAAAAAAAGTTTTTGTAATGGCGTTCAGAAATAAGTATTTATATTGATATGAACTGTTGTGTCACCCTTAAAATGAAGCACAGCTTCCCCACATGGCTTACTTCCGATACTTTTTCACAACTTAGTGACAGTTCTCAACATGCTTAAAACTGAGGTTACAGACAAGACATTTCAGTTACAGATTTCTCAAATTAGAGAAAATACCGACACATTAAATTATTTTGACAGCTTTTTTGACCAAAAGAGATACTTTCAGCATAACAGCAGCAGACGAAAGAACCCCTGTACTTACTGCTTTTTAAAGAAAGGAACCCCTTCAGCTAACACCATTACACAGCTACGGTCTTTAAAAAAAGAGTGGTTTTAAGTACCTGTAAGGCTAGCATGAGCTGGAGTGAAATATGGATACAAACTGGATGTCAAAGGACAACTAAAACTGAAACTGCAGTACAAACCCTGCTGTTTTGCTAATGAAGTGAGCAAACTCCCAAACACAGCATTAGGACTGACAAAGGCTATGTCTGTAAACTGGCCTCCAGAGCTATTAACAAGGCTTCTCTTTCCTTTTCATCCCATTAATCTTTTAAATATTACAGTGAGATTCAAACTTTTAGCACACTGATAATGACAAAAAATGAGAGTAATAAAATCTAGGTAATTCACTCACTCAAAGTGAGAAGAATCTGCCAACTCATACAAAACCGGCATTTCAGAAGTGGAACATGAATTCCCATGCTACTTGTCTGAAATTAAAAGAAGTCTCCCCGGGCTGTATGAAATGCACACTCATTGTTTTAAGACATAATACAAGTCAGAAAACATCCAGCAATATTGGAAGAACATGTGTAGTTCAGTGTAGTCAGATAAAATAATGGAAGCCCAGAATAATCTTTTACATTTGTTTTGATTTTTAAAAGTCTTTCTTTAAAAAAAGTTAAGCTCTAAAAAGTTTTAATTCCTGTTCTTCAATGCCCAGCTCTGTCTTTTTTATAGACTGAGAAAATGGCTGTACCAAATATTCTCACTTATCCTGTGTGTGCTGACAGCAATAATTTCTGTCGATAACTTTGTGTTGGCTATACAACACATCTATTTCTGTGAATTTTTTTAAGGCTTTTTTCATGTCCACTGGACATTTTTAGGAATCTTTGACATTAACAAAGTGACTATCTTAAAGTGACAAAATAGATGGGTTATTGTGATAATTGTTCTGTTCCTGCTATTTGATTGCCAAGTATGCAAAAAGTGATCTCTTAAAAAGTACATCCAGAGCAATCCAAATAAAAAAAGAAATAATAATGAAAATCTGAAGTGAAATTTACTGTAATAATGCTTTATTTCTGTCATTGCAGTAACTATTTATATACCATTAAAACCTTCCTGGAATAAAAAAGCTTCACAGTTGTTTCTGAGTACCTTTCAGGCATTTCCCTAACAGAGCTCATGCAAATTTAAGCTAAAAATTTCCAAGCAGTCTAAATAAGGTGACTAGATCATCATCACCTATTGTCAATGAGATCTTTCGGATATTGCACCCATACTCTTAAGTTGGCCACCTTCTTAGGTTCAAATGAAGGAAGAATATCCACAAGACAGATGGTCAAATGTCCACTTCTAATCCATGCCTAAAACTTAGTTTAGCTGCCCCTTGGTTAACAGTCCAGAGACAGGAGAGATGAATAACATTTTTTTGTAACCACCATGAGTACATATACTGGTTTACATAAAAATAATCTGTTCTACCAGTCATGTACCTAGAGTTTTGGCATCTTAAAGTATTTTAATTAAATGCCCTAATGAGTGAAGGTAAGCATGGTACCTCACGTTTACCAGGTGTCTCAGAGCAGCACACATATGGACAGCTTCTTCAGAGCCAATGTCACAGCAACACATTCATAGCAAATATTAAATATTACATTTAGAAGAAATGAATTGTGCCCAGAAGAGCCAACTCCTCTCTATTCACAACAAAGAGTGTCCACATGACGAGATCAGGTGTAGATGTTGACAATGTGACATTTGAAGTTAGACGAGATGAATTCTGCCCAGAAATCCCACGTATCATCTGTGTAAGTTACCTAACCTTAAGTATTATAGTACGGATTTCATACTGCCTGATCCTACCATATGTATATCCACTGCCTTCTTTTTCCCCCTCTGTAAAAAGGCACATGCTACCCAGTCAATTAATACTTCCTCCTCAAGTAATTAATACTTGCACCCAACAAAAATACTTTGGGGTTACCTTACCTAGTGCTCAGAAATACATTTTTGTTGTGACTGTTTCTATCACAATAACCAGTTTTTAAATCTGCAGCTCAGCACTGGTCCTTGCTACTTGATTGTTCTGTGTCCTTCACTAAATTCTTTGCTGGTTATTCTTGCTATTCTCCAGTGGAACTTTAGTTAGTATTTTGGCCTTACTTTGGCCCTTTGTAGTCTCATAACCCTTAGCTATACCAAGAGACGGTGGCTGAAATTAGCCACTGTCAACAAGATTATATTGTTTTGAATAAAGACTGATGCCTGTACTTATAATGGACTTTACACACAGTTAAACCAAATATATGATGCTGATTTACCAGCTTTTTATCTTTATGTCAAAAGTTTTGTAACTAGGAAAATGAGGGATAATAAGACTTTTGGTTATAGCAGGAAAAAAAAATGAAATTCTTACGTCTATAGTTCCAGCCTTCTCTACATCTCCTATATTCCCCCTTCCAACCAAGAATGACATTGATACTTAAGGATTTAAGGTAAATCAGCTTACACAATCTCATTTACTTACAGATTCTAACAAACAGATTTATAAAAAAGTACAAACAAAATAGAACAATAACAAAACTAATACACATAAACTTTCACTTTATAGACTTCTTTGTCTTCACATTCTCTTTGCTTATCATAATAATAGAACGTATTGTCCCTTCTCTGAAGTTTCTTAACAAATCCAGTTTCTGGCCAACACTCTACCTATGAACAGAATAAAAAGGATATACATTCACCTGAACATGCTCCCATTAAATTATGTTTGTGCATTATATTGCAAAGAATATAGGGCATACTTCCCTGGGAAAGCCTTGTTTGCATCTAAACACTGCTCTGCTATTAATTTGATTAACTTTAAAAAAAAATAAGAACAAGATGTCAGAAACCAGTTTTCTGGTGTTGTTTTTTTTTTTTCCCCAGAAAAGTCTAGAAATAAGGATCTATGAATATCTGATAGAATAATTTAAAAAGTGGACTAGTCAAAGCTTTTAAAATACCTCATTTAGGAATAAAACATTGATGCTACTCAGTTATTCAGTAATCTGAGAGACTGAAAGATTCCGCTTCTGTAAGACTGAAACACACTTAAAGGTTTCTTCAGGATCCTTCTGACCATGAAAAATGTGCTTTTCATTAGCAATTTCATAAAAATAAAGTGAGCTACATGTATCATAGTCTCAAAGACAGCAGGGTCAGTCCCGCAGGAAACCAGCACCCTCCTAGTGCTCTTCAGTGTTCCACAATGCGAAGCTTTAAACTAAAAGCTTGAGTACCTGAACGTACAACAGCTTTACAGCTTTAGTAGCTATCTGCAACTTGTACCCCTGTGACTACTTTGGATCAAACCGAACCTTAAAAATCAGGTAATGAGGATCTTATTTCTCTTCCAGGCAGGGTTGACAATAGGATGTCAAACTAGAACATTCTCTAACTGGAGAGTCCCAGAAGTGGTAGTTTTATCACTTAACTTACTACTTAAGGTATACAGCAGAGTTATTTGCAATCTCTGTCTAAATGTAACAGCCTTAATATTCATTCTACCTATGTTATAATTGCATCTGCATTATGGAAACATAATATGGAGTAAACAAGACATTTCATGATGTGTGAGTCAAAAGAGAATCACTGCCAGATCCTGGCAAGTTTGAACAGAATGCACGCTCATTTTACACTGAGTAATTGGTGTTCTTTTACCTTTTATCAGGGTTTAATTGTCTATGGTTATATCCTGCCATAAATCTTAAACAGACTGATCCTACCACACTAATTACAGGATTTCCTTTTGCACAGTTAAAGGAATTTACACCACAGCCTTTGTAGCAGTATCCAAGCACATGACAAAATAATAAACTGTATCTTACTATGCACATCAGCATTTTGGTTTGGTTTGAGTGAACTGGTTGAGGTGCGACTTTCTTAGGAACGTTCTGCTCTTTCTTACGTGCACAGGAGGTTCTTTTAAAAGTGGATTTTTCACATGATATATGTCGCTTTGGAAGATGAATTGCAGTGCTCTAATAAAGATAGTATGTTGTTTGCTGTATTAACCTCTTGGTTGCTATTTTGAATCTCAAGTAGTCACTGAATATTTGGCCACTATTCATTAGCTCACTTGATGTGCCACCAACTGTAGTGAGCAGAGGACCAAGTCTGCAATGTTCTCAGTTGATAAAAACCCAGGTCACAACTCCCTTTACCACAGTTGGCATCAAATATTTCTGTCGTGGACATCTTCAATAGAAGCCAAGTTCTGAGTGTGCACAAAGTCTGATTATGCTGCCACACAGTTTGACTGTAGTCGGTAGCAATGACACAGGACTGACTCCCTGGACAGGGTATGAGTTTCCCATCAGGTCTGTTGCCAGAGTAATGGGGAAACTCCACAGAGAACTCACTAAACTCCACAGAGAACTCTCTCTGATATATTCCTTTCCTCAAAACTGAATTATTCTGTTAGGTAGCAGCTACATCTATGCAAAGAAATCTATAATGCTTCTAAATGCATAAGAGAGGGGGAACAAAACCACAGGCTACCACTGGGCAGTTTCTGTTTCACTTCTGTGAAATAAGTTATTTTGCAAAGTTAGTAATAGCTCAAGAATTTAAGTCAGACCTGGGAGAAAACAGCTGTATCAGAAACTAGCGTAAAAGAAAGGAAATATGCAGCACTTCAATTTTTATTTAATAGTTTAACATAAGATGAAAGATGAAAGCATTTGGAACTCTTGCAGAGTTCCAAATCTTACCATGTCAACTTGTTTTACTTGTTTATATTCAATCTCATCTCTGTATCCAGCTTGCTGAAATCTGTATAAGTTCTCTACATCATCTGACCATTTTTTGGCATGATACATAGATTTTGGGTTGATGTCAGCTTTAGCCATGACTCCAGAAACTTCACCCTTTTTCCTGAAATTAGATTTTAAAAAATTAAACAGAGAAGGACAGAAGCAAGCAATTTTGTTAGGGACATATAGAAATGGGTAGAACAAAAACTAAAAATAGAGGAATTACAGACAGTACAATATTATCTTCCACTCATAGTCTGAGGTTAAAAAAGAAAAGCTTTATAAGCAGTTGGAATCAAATTAAATGTGCTACTTGATCTCAGACAAACCCAAATCACCTATACTTTTATATACACCTCTACGTCTCAACCTACCAAAGATTTCTTTATGCATATTTGCATTTAAAAAATATACAAAACAGTATATTTTTTTAATTTCACATCTTCACAATGGCTATTCCTTTGGGGCAGGCAGTTTTTCAGGTTTTTATTTCTTCCTACTGAAGGGACACCAAACTGGGAACAAACAAATCAAGAGCTGGGCTCTTACTGAAGAACAGCAGACACTTGGGATGGGAGAGGAGGGGAAAGAAGTGCACTACCAGTCACATGAGCACAGTGGAGATGGCAAAGAAGTCTTAAGAAATAAATTGGGTAAGGAGACAAGGCACACAACCGACCCAAATTTATCCTATTCTACCCTTGCCCAATCAAAATTTGCATTGTCTGTCACTGACTTCCTCCTCACACAAATCCCATTGTTCAGTCTGCTGAGAAACAGTAAATAAGTTAATCAACTGCTAAACCTGACCACAGCAGAACTGTAAAAAAAAAAAAAAAAAAAAAAAAAGCAATAAAAAATACTGTGAAATCAGAGGAAACTTACTAGGGATGGATTTGAACTATATTTTTTAAAAATTGAGTCATTTGACTTCTACCTTATATCTGAATTTTACTGCATTTGCTTTCTTGAGTGTCTTATTCTGCTACTAAACCAGAAATTTATGTTGCTTCTGCAAGAAAAACACACAGAACACTATTGTGTCTAGCAGATATGATTAGAAATTAGTCCTTTCCTAGTTTTGTAATGTCACCAAGCTTCAGTTTCATAATTAAGAAGGTATCTTCAAAGAAGAAAACGCTTCTGGATTTTGTAGTGACAGGATGAACACAGTCTCACTCCCTGTGGGTAGTATGCTGCCTCCAAATCCTGCACGCAGAGTAAAATTTCTTTACTTATCGAGTTCCAATATCAACTGAGAGCTTGAAAAGCTGAATGCTGATATCTTATTGAATGCACAGATGCCCTTAGTTAGAAAGGCATAAAAGGAGGAAAAAAAATCACAGCATCCAAATCTTTGGGAAAATTATATGAAGAATTATTGTTTTCATAATGTGGAAATAGCAGAAGTCTGCACCTCTGTCATCTAACTCTATGAGAACCATTAGCACACAAAGAAAGAGCCTTTCATCTCTCACTGCATAGACTTTAAGATCAATAAAAATATGCACAAGGGCTCATTTCTGGCAATACTAAACTATTTATTGCAGTTCAGCACTCCAAACATTCTTTTACCAGGTTCTGCAGCATTTTGTAATTGAAGACAACCATTTATTAAAAAAAAAATAAAATAATAATTTCCCACACAAGTTATGAGGTGTCCAATACAAATTAACACGATAAACATATATCCTTATTCTAAATATTTAGTGTAGTCATTGAAATATCTTATCTCAACATCATTTTTTTCCTCCCTTGATGCAAAGGGCTCTTTTGTAGCCATTACAGAATTTTTCATGCCCTGTATATGCTCATCGATGTTTGATGAGAATTGTTGTCAATCTGGGACTTTAGACAGTCAATATAATTGGAAATAACTTTAGATCTTAAAAAATGCTAAACTATAATGATTTTAAGTTCCTTATGATAACTTATGTGTTACTAGTGTTAAATATTTCTGTATAGATGTACTGAATTAATCTAATGTATGTGTTTCTTTAAGACATCTATATATTCCTGGCACTTCCTGAGTCACCATTAATTCAGATGGCTTGTCCACAAGCATTCCTGCTCAAAAAATATACATAAAGGTCATATATTTAAAGTGCCAGTTGGTTACTTCAGATAATAAAGGCACCAGCCTGATATTTTTAGTCCACTATTTAAGCCCTTTAAAAATAGTACTCTTTGTCTATTGTAGTGCCTCTGAGTTCCAGGCATAGATCTGGTTTAATTGTACAAGAGCACGAGCCGAGCTGTACTCCAGACAGCCCACAATTCAGGGAAGAGACAAAAGACAGCCCACAGATATAGACAAATGAAAGAACGCAAGAGAATGGCAAAAAAAAAGATTCCGCATAATACTAACACTTTTCATTTAAAGTGAATTGTTAAACAGTGAAGTGGACTTTTCTAAGACAACAATGTTTGCCTACTCTTAGGGAAAATAGTGAGATTTCATATACCTCTGTTTTGGCTTTAGGAAAACATTTTTTTTAACGTCAATCACAGCACAATTTCTATGGAATCCTCACTAGCGTGGGCTTGCATATGGTAGTTATATGTTTATATAAGTTGTAAGGGTATGTAGGAGGAGAGTGTCTGCTCCTTTAAGGGCATCTGGTCAAGGACCTTTTTCAATGCAACAAGGGATAACAAGAAAGGGAGGAAGCCATAAAACAAGAACATATGGGGACACAAATCTGACCAGTAAATTATGTGGTGATGAAAATCAAACCTGGTCAGTCACACTAATTGATGGGGGCATGTGGGAGTGTGAGAATGTTTGTTCCAGCAAGGTTATCTGATCAAGGACCTTGTCAGTTGGGAAACTAACGGAAAAAGGGGAAACCAGAAAGAAAATATACAGAGACACAGACTTGACAAAACAAACATAGAGGCCATGACAAGAAACAAACCTCACCACTCACACCAATTGATGTGGTGTCAAAAAACTACAGGCGCCACTTTCCAGAAAGATCAACCCAGGCTTTGCCACTGGTAAGACTGAAAACCAGGGGGACCCCAGACTCGGAGGGGTGCAGGAATAGAGCTGTACAAACATGTGAGGGATGTGCAGGGGAAGGGGAGCGGGGAGGAACAAAGCTGGGAATAGACAGAACTGAGTGTGAAAGAGGTTGGTTGTGTGCAAAACACGGCCAGTCAGTATGCTTGTCTGGCTGAGGCCTGCGCCTGATCATCACAGTCTGTCCTATCTTCTTGTATCTTATTAAATCTTTTCTTAAACTATCCCTCTGTGTCATCTTGCTCTCTGTCCCGTGTGTGTGTGTGCTGCAAGGACTAAGTGCCACTGTGTGTGAGTGAAAACTGGTGCCAGCTCCTGGATTCAGACCAGGGGTTTGGGTGCCCCTGGCCTTTGATGTCAGCTGCTGGAGTGAGTGGGCATCTTTAACTTCCAGCCACTGGAGCAGGAATGGTATGTGTCCTGAAAAATGAGCTACTGGGGGAGGGCTGGCAGGAGTGAGGGGCTCTATGCCAGCGCTTGGAGCAGGACTGTGAGTGACAACCGGTGTGCCTGGTGCCGGCTGCTGGGGAGGAGGGGTGTCTGTATCTTCCCAATCCAGGTATTTGTGGGGTGCATATCCATACTCACTAGCAAACTTTAAGCTGGACTAGCTGGCAAACAGAGGGACATCTGGTCCAGGCCAGGATATCAAGCATGCAGAGGGTGGGTGTGTGATGGTACACCCAAGGGAATGTGGAGTGCATGAGGGATGAGTGTGTGAGTGCATGTTTGTTAGTGAGCATCAAGCTGGAGTAGCAGGCAAACAGGGTATCTATGAACCAGGCAAGGGGCCTGGGATCTGTGCCAGGGTGCTGGGCAGACAGAGGGGCTGTGCTTGTGAACCTACAGAGTGGTATGTGTGTGCCTGCACTAGCAAACTGTTATCGCTGCCAGCCAAAGAGGAGGAAAGGCACTTATCTGTGTTTATGTTTTATGGGAGTCCTCTATATAGGTGCCGTTGCAGGTAACGCCTCATCTGTGGCAGCTTGTGTGACCAGCCACGTCTGTAACACACCCTCAACTTTGTTACTGGTTGAGCCTGCAAACGGGAAAGCAGCAGCTGCATCCCTCAGCCCAGGCAGAAACCCCGGGTCTCCAGGCAGGAGAGCGGCTGGAGGAGATGGCCAGGCTTCCTAGATCACTTAACACGAGTCAACATACACGGGACCTATTTGGGGTCCTAGAAGAGTCAGTAAGAGAATTCCAGTGACTTCCACCGCCTTTACCCGAGAGCTTCTTCTATTTGCCAAGGCATGCAGGGCCTGGCCTGAGACACTGCTGGGACCCCACCCCACCCTGCTCCCACCGCCATAGCCACAGCCCGGCCGCCCAGCCCTTAAGACAACCCACCTCGGTGCGAGGGCCGCAAAACGGGGACTTTTCCCAGGTCGGGCGGCGCGGAGGGGCCGCGGCAGCGCGATGGCGGCGGTCTCTCCTCACAGCGCCACCGGCCGCCGCCGCCGAGCGGTGTCGCTAGGCAACCGCCCGCCGGTGCCTCCTTAAGG